ATCAGCTACTTTGTATGTGTCTGTATAGATTATATATATCATAACTATCCTACAGGTACAGAATGTATCAGCTACTGTGTGTCTGTCTGTATAGATTATATATATCATAACTATCCTACAGGTACAGAATGTATCAGCTACTTTGTATGTGTCTGTATAGATTATATATATCATAACTATCCTACAGGTACAGAATGTATCAGCTACTGTGTGACTGTCTGTATAAAATATATTTATCGTAACTTTATCCTATAGGTACAGAATGTATCGCCTACTGTGTGTCTGCCTGTACAGATTATTTATGTCATATCTATCCTATAGGTACAGAATGTATCAGCTACTGTGTGTGTCTGTCTGTACAGATTATATATATCATAACTCTATCCTACAGGTACAGAATGTGTGTCTGTTTGTACAGATTATTTATATCATAACTATCCTACAGGTACAGAATGTATCAGTTACTATGTGTGTCTATCTGTGTAGATTATATATATCATAACTCTATATAGAGGTATGGAATGTATCAGCTACTGTGTGTGTCTGTCTGTACAGATTATATATATTATAACTATCCTACAGGTACAAAATGTATCAGCTACTGTGTATCTATCTGTTTAGATATTTTTATCATAACTTTATCTTACAGGTACATAATGTATCAGCTACTGTGTGTCTGTCTGTACAAATTATTTATATCGCTTTTCCAGGTTATAAACTTTAAAAAAATGGCGTGGATGCTCTGATAAATAACACAACATCCTAACTTTTACACAATTTATTTATAACATAACATGTTATTACAGTATTTATTGGTATTTCACCAAAACTTTTGTATGGTCTTTAAGAACTCACTAGGTATATACTTAAAACATGGTATACTCACAGGATGACTTTGTAGAAAGAAGTAATGGCTAACATAGTGGCTGTAGGGGTACTTTCTATGACCCGTTTTCAACAACCAGTTCTTAATGTCCTTTTTCACTGTTTCACGTTATTAATTAATTGATAATAAGCCACAGAAATGTCTTATGGAATGAAGTTGTAAGGTCACAGTTCAAATGTGGAAGTGGTTATAACTCAAGAAATGTTTCTTCATATCAGCATTATGATGACTTTTGGTGGTATAAATTTATCGGAGTTTATGTATTATTGCAATAGTGGCAATTATGTTATTTTTTCATTCTATTCCTCCATAGAGAGTGTTAGCACATTCTGTAAGATACATAAGACGATTGTGTGCCCTCCCTCCACATTGTGTGTATATTGTGTTATAGAAAATTTAGTAACGTTTATATATATATATATATATATAAGAATATTACTCATCTTACTTGAAAGATAATAAATGTTAAATAACATCAATAACGGGGTGGTGGGATTGTGAACCTCTATGAACATGCCACTTGTTCCAAACTATCATCCCATAAAGTTTTGTTGAAATTTGCCCAGCGATCTAGGGGGGTTATATAATGAACAAACAGACAGACACACAGATTTTTTTTGTGATTTATATATATATAACTCTACCCTATAGCTACAGAATGTATCAGCAACTATATGTGTATTTGTACAGATTATATATATCATAACTCTATCCTATAGGTACTGCATGTATCAGCAACTGCGTGTCTGTCTGTACAGATTACTTATATCACAGCTATATGGTACAAATTCAAATTGTATTAAAAAAATTTTTGGTCTCTACTAAGACAATTAGATGAAGTTATTCTTAGTTTGGCCAAGCAGAGATGATTTATTTATAGTTGTTAAATGTGTGTCTAAATGTACATATTATAAACATAATACATTTTTTACGAGTGTTGCAGAAATAACTGTGAGTAATTATTTTACTTTAATTAAGGAAAGTGGCTTAGTACTGTTATAGCTAACCTCCTCATATAAAGCACTTGTCAATCAGTAAGATAATATATATATATAGTTAGTTTAACGTATGAGAATCCTATATGAATAGCAGTCCTGATGGTTACATTTAAAGACAAGTATCACGGTGTTATGAATACCATTTCTCTCACTTGTCCTTCACTAGCTTAACTCATGTGCAGGTGTATGTTTTCGATTATGTTAAAGAGTTTTTAAATATGTACATTCATTTTTCAATACCTTTGTTTACCAATACTTTTCTTAATTGTTACAGATACTTTATTTTTTGAACAGTATACCTTATTTTCATTAGTGTATGTAATTTTTTTAGGTTCTTTCTCAATCAAAACCAGAGAATATAAGTATAAAATACAGAGGTATGGACGGCTGACGAAAAGTCAGTTTTTACTCATTTTTGAAGGAGCAAAGTATAGTTTTATTGTTTTGTTTTACAGCCAAACTTTTTCTTTGTAATAATAGCATAAAGTTTAATATGTTATGAGATTTTTCTTATTTACAATTATACAACATTGAAGAAATTTTATCAATATCAATTTCAATTTAAAATGATGCATAAAATGTACAAAGTATTAATATATTTCCTTAACATTACTTGCATATAGCCCATCAAAAATACTAACACCCCCACCCCATAGTAAACTCTAACCTCACATCTCATAGCTAACTGAAATAAATAAATTTTGTGAAATCAAGCTTGACCAACAAAGAGGCAGAAAAGTCCAGTCCAGGCAGTCAAACGTTGTAAATTCCTTTGTGAGCCAATCAAATTAAGATCATTCATGAAATGAATTTGTGGTGTATTCATAGAATTATTATAAAAATCAGTTATATGAACAACTTCTAATGTATAGAAAAGTCAGTGGTAAAACTATGTTCCAACAATGGCTTTTATGTCAGTTTATGTCCTGTTAATTCAGATTCTCTGTTGATTAAAGAGGTTTGTTTTTATTAAAAAACTTGGTGATATAACTGAAAATAGTTTAATTCAGAAACGATTTATGATTAAAATTGAATCGATAATACTCAATACACTTGTAATATTTCATGGCACACACACACACACCTCACGACCCCCTTGCACACCCGTGACTAAAATCGTAATAGGCAGATAGTAATCAAACTCTTCTATCTAGATAAATGCATTTTGACTTTTATGACTCCTGTTTTCAGAAATCAAGCGTGACACATACTAGCTTTTATATAGGTTAGATTGGACTGGGTTCGCATGTTGGACTGTGGTTCACTATCTATTACATTATATCTGAAACAAAACAAAAATACAATCTAATTATTAGTAGCTTCTGATCAAAGTAAGCTACTTAGATTTTATCTAGAAATAACTTATTTAATATATTTTTCTTATAAAGATTAGAATGTACTTCACTGCCAAAGACAGGACACTACCAAAACTAGAACCAAAAATACTTGTTATAAAGATATAAAATAATAAATTAAATCAATACCTGAATCATATAACAATCAGCTAGGATAGTGGGTCTCTATTGAAATTTAACAATGCTAAATATAGTACAAACAAAACAATATACTAAAAATACTATGAGACCTGACTAGCACAACTACTGATTTAGCAACAAAAATGGAACAGACAACAAGAAGTTTCTGCTTCTAACTAAGCACAAAGGTACATGTTATGTCTCTGGTCGTTGGTTAATTTTCCGTAGAAATTCTTTCCGAAAAACTTCAGTGATACAAGTCCTTTCTTAAATAAAACTAGTTTATTCTTTCTCAGTACACTTAATTTCCACAGTCACTTTAACTTAAACACACGATATGATTCACAACGATTCACACACTTTATTTACGGTCACTACCACGCTTGACTCAATTGTCCGTCTCTATCTCTCCTGTCTGCAATTCAATTATTTTACCGTCACTTCTCGCTGGTCTTATATATACAAAATAGAGGGCGTCTGGCAAACACTCGAGCCTTCAGAAACACTGCCCCTTCCTTAGTATTGTTGTCCAGAACAATAGCCACTTACATTAAACCAATAGATAATTAACAATAACTTAATTAAATGTACAGAATTTACAAGCACAAAATTGAAATTCAACAAAGTCTCTTAATTTTATGGGACGTATCTTCTTCCGTACTGGTCTCTGTCTCGTTGGCTTCTGTTTCAGGTGAGGTTTATCTGCTTCATCAGGAATTGTTCTATTATCAGTAATAGTCACATCAGTGGTAGTAACTTCATGAAGGGCTTCACTGTTTCCCTTCTCAAAACTGGGTAGAATTTCTTCTTCGACAGTGGCTTTTCAGGTGACACGTCTTCAGCGGCATCTTTTGTTCCATTCTTCGCCTCGTTCCAACTGAACTGTCCTGGACCATGAGAATGCCAAAGCCTGTTGGCATGCACCACCTTTGGCTTGCCTCACCGACCACATTTTATTCGGAAAGTCACGTCTGAGAGACGATCCACTATGTCATATGGGCCTTCCCATGGAGAAGACAACTTAGGAGACTTCATTTTGGTCTTCCTGGGATTATACAACTACACCTTGTCTCCTGGTACAAAGCTGACTTCAGTAGACTTCTCATCATAACATAGCTTTATCGAATCAGCAGACGTTTTCAAGTTTGAACTCTCTTGATGGTGAATATCATCCATCCTTTCAGATAATACTTTCACGAACTCTGACACATTTTCAGGCAACTCTTCATAAGGTGGGCGTGCTGTTAACAGATCCACTGGCAACCAAAGTTCCTGACCAAACATGAACTTTGCTGGAGTTATCCAGTGGCTTCATGCTCTGCTGTTCTATAGGCCATCAACAGTGGAGGGAGTAAGACATCCCAGTCATATTGGCGGCTATTACAAAACTTTGCCAATTCCTGTTCCAGTGTCCGGTTGTACTTCTCTACCATCCCATCAGACTGTGGGTGAAGTGGCGTTGTTCTGGTCTTTCGTATGCCAAACAACTTTCAGCATTCATGGAACACAGTTGATTCAAAGTTACGGCCTTGATCTGAATGCAGTTCATATGGCATTCCAAATCTGAAGAAGAAATCACTAATAGCCAAAGCTACAGTTGTAGCTTCCTGATTTGGTATTGCATATGCCTCAGACCACTTGGTGAAATAATCCATCACCACACAAATGTACTTGTTTTCTTAACTCCGAGACGTCCTCCTGTTACAGTATCATGGGATTGACGCAACACAACTTCCCGTAACTTTCTCGGTATAAACGTTTGCCAGGTCGTCACTTTCCCATCTTCAAGCTTCAATGTGACAAAGAACTATTGGGCACAGTGGGACCAGGGGCTTAAGCTAGACACTTTCTCCCAAGCAGGGTGCAAAACACTTGTAGAAAATCAGTTATTGGCCTCAAATCCTGGTCTTTCTCCTGCTCTGATTTAATATCTCTACCTGGTTCCATTTCACCATAATCAACTCCTTCAGTCACTTTGACTCCAGCTTGATGACACCTGGATAGTTCAACCTCTCTTTTAACACTTACCGGAATTTGGCCTTTGTTGTTCCCAAACGTCATTTTATCAAAATCAATTACAAACTTCCTTGGTAGTAGACAGTCCAATCCTACTATGCATTTTGTCTTTAATGTCAGCCAAGTATACTTTGTGTCTGTCCTTTATGCCCATGAGTTCAATAGTTACCCACACTGGTCCCCACAACTTAACATAATGTCCTGTCACACCACAAAGCTTCTGTACAGCTTCTGGTAATCGTTTGTGATCTAGCATCTTGATACTCATAAGGGTTTGCTGAGATGCAGAATCTATGACAAAGTTGCACCTTTGGCCATCCAGCTTTTCTGCCACGTAGACACTGTGTGTGCTTGGCATTTTACACCTAGCTGTTGGGACTTTCATGATGGGGGTTGGTGGGCATACCTCAACACCAACCACTATTGGTTTCCCCAAGGCTGACTTATTGGTAGTATTCTTCTTACACTGGCTCATCATATGTCCTTGCTCTCCACAGTTCCAACAACCTTTCTGGGTAGCAGCCTTTCCTGCCATGGCGTATTCCCTGTGTTGAAGTTTCCAGCATTGAGCTTTCTTGTGCCCAGGTTTGTTACAGTGCCAGCAAAGTCCCTCAAACTTCTCTGAAACCTGTCCTTTTCTGACCTTGAATCCTGATGACTGTACTAGCAATGGTACATCTGTGCTGGACTTAACATAGGATTCGAATTCAAGAGCTCTGGCCATTGCTTCACTTGTATCTTCAGTTGTGGACAATCCAAGGCATCTACAAACTGATCCCTCAGCAACAGCTTGAGGACATCGGGTGGTGCAGTTGGGTATGCCTTGTGTGCCATACTTTCCAAGTCCTGTTCCAGCTCTTGCATGTTCTTCCATTTAGCATGGACTCTAGTCCTAACCCTAGTCCTGTAGACTTCAGACTGATTTTGAGTTTCATACCTGAGCTCTAGTGTAGCTAGTAGTGCTTTATAGTTTTGCCTGTCATCTGCAGACAACTGTCCAAGTATTTCCAGTGGTTGTCCCTTCAAGCTCGTTGTCAGATATACTGCTTTCTGCTCCTCTGTCCATCCATTCATCTCTGTTAGGAGCTCAAATTGTGCTCTATATGCTTCCCATGGTGCCTTCCCATCGAATTCCTGTGGCTTCCTTCATACTAGATCACCCCTATTGCTGACATTCATATTTGGGATGTGACTTCTAACAAGATGTCTATATTAGGGTCTAGCTGTGGGGTCTGGAAGGGGCTTCCAGTTGCCTGAGGCTGATTAGGTCGATGGCTAATATATCCTGCTTGTGTAAAAGACAGTAAATCATCCTTTAAGCAATCTAATAAACGCCCTTAAATTAAATGCATCCACCACATCTGAAGGCAACTCATTCGAAAGACCAACCACCTTGTTAGAAACATATAGCTTTCTTAGCTGAAGATCACTTCTTCCCTGCCAAGAATTAATTTTACATTTGTGCCACCTAGTCTTACCATTCTCATCCTTAAGTAAGAAAAAAAAAAGATGATGCATCAACACTATCAATTCCTTTAACATCTCAATCAGATTCCCTCTAACTCTTCTGTTTTCAAGAGAAAACAAGTTCACATATCTTAACCCATCTTTGTATGACAACCAGGTATCATCCTAGTAGCCCAAAACTGAACACAATACTCCAAATGTGGCCTAAGCAATGATCTATACTATAAAGTTATAAAGCTGTATCCAATATTTCTGTAGATACAACTTAAAATCTTACTTGACCTGCCTGTAGCAATAGGCTTCCAAAATCACATTTCTTGGATGGCTTAAGATATTGATCAATCAGACCACTAAGATCCTTTTCTATCATGATACTGTTAAGAGTTTTCCCATTCAAATTATACTTATAATTCAAATTATGAAAACCCACATGAATTATTTTGCATTTATTATAATTAAACCCCATTTGCCATTTATTTTCAAAGAATAAAAATAATCCGAATCCTTTTGTAAAGCACCAGCAGCCTCCTTACAGCTAGAAACACACAAAACCTTAATGTCATCAGCAACTTTAAATAATTTATTACCCCTTCCTTTTTCTAACATTTGATGGAATCCCATTTGTAACAGTAATCCAGTTTAACTGAACTCCATTTATACCAACTCTCTGCTTTCTATCATCCAGCCACTTTTCTATCCAATTTATCCTCCACATCTATTTGGCACCTTGTCAAATACTTTCTGAAAATTTGGGTACACCAAATCCTCATCTACATAAGCAGTAACCTCTTCAAATAATGTCAAAAGAATAGTTAGACAAGTCTTTCCTTTCTTGAAACCATGTTGACTCTTTAACAAAATGTTCAACTTTGTTAAATGGCTTTATAAATCATCTTTTTATCAGATTTTTCAAGAACCCACCACTGATGTAAGACTAATAGGCCTATAATTATTGGTGCAGTTTTATCAGCTTCCTTGAAAAGAGTAAAGTTATCGAACTTGGCACCTGCTTACTGTTCAAGATATAATTTGGCATCGCCCACTATTCAAGAACTGACAAAAAAAAAACTGTTCATTAATCTCTTTCAAAACTGGTTGGGAAATATTGTGTCATATTTATCAATCTTTAAACTTCTCAGTTTTTGTCTTAACAAGCTCAAAATTCATGCGATGATCTTGTTTCATTGGAGTAATAGTTCAAGATGAAGAGTATTACTTAAATATAAATGAGTAAACATTGATGAAAAGTAGATTTTAATAACCCAGCCATCACATAAATGTCAAATGTAAACATTCATCCCTCAAAGGCCTTACTCCCATCCTAATCTTTTGTTTACCTTTAAATGATACTAGAAGTGTTTATAAATTCAATATCTCTACAGATAATGATATTGTTGTTAACCAATAGAACAGTAATAGTATTCTAAGGGCAATAAAGTATTGAACTGAAGGAAGCCCTAAAGATATACAACATTGTTAATCAATTAAACATCTAATAGAATGTTCGAGATATTGGTGTTGGTGGTGTTAATTAGTTCAAAAGTTGTTATTGTAAAACTAACAAGACATGCACATTGTTCGTTAGTTACACCCCCGTGGCACAGCAGTATGTATGTGGACTTACAACATAACCCATTGTGCAATTACAAACTTAAACTCACCAGTTATACTGCTGTTATAATAAAAGCATACTGTTACACGTGTTATTAATTGGCTCTAATAAAACCTGAAGGTAGAGGTGTTGTTAATTTATTAGCTTTGTTATATTGAGGTTCAGAAGTCCCACAAAGACAAGTAGATAGAGCCGAGAGAGACCTTGAACTTTTGGAAGAAGACATGAAGTTACAAACACTGGCTTGTTCAACAGACCTGTATCCTCAGCAGTTTCAGTCTTCTCCAGTTTCATCTGCTCAGATGGGTTTTATGAAGCCTATTGTCAGGTAAGTTTGCCAATTCCTGCATTTTATTATAATTTTTAGGTAGATCAGATACACTAGTGTTGGCCCTCGTAAGTTTCTAGACATATAAGGCTAAATATCGGTTTTTGATACGACAAATAGCCTATTGTGTAGCTTTATGCATAACAACAAATAGTGTTGTTTAGTGCAACAAATAGATTTTGAACTGATTCAAGATATTGTTACGTCTCTAGTCGTTTGTTAATTTCCCGGTATAAATTCTTCCCGAGGAACTTCAGTGATACAAATCCTTTCTGAAATAAAACTAGTTTATTCTTTCTCAATACAACTTTGCAATACACTTAATTTACACAGTCACTTTAACTTAAACACACGCTATAATTCACAACGATTCACACACTTTCCTTACGACTTGACTCGATTATCTGTCTCTATATCTCCCTATCTGCCAATTCTCTATGCTGTCACTTCCCTTCTCCGCTTTAACTGCCGAGCTTATATACTAAAATAGAGGGCATCTAGCAAATACTGGGATATTCGTGAGGTTTCCTGATCCTTCTAGAAACTCATGACGTGTTACTAGCGTCACGTGACTTCCACTGTCTT